TCGTACTGTCAGTGTCTGTTCAGGATTCATTTGTTTACTGAAATTTGTGTTATGTGGCTGCAGTATCGCAAACAAATGATCAAAATGCCACAGATTTAATGAAATACATAGAATTTCAGGATAATCCCATGTAGCTCTTCCTTATCTCTGTGCAATGGATTGGATGGACACAATAGTTCCTGTTAATTTATTTTGATATGCATGATTTCATTTGAACTGACTCTGAATTATTTATTAGATATATATTTTTTCCTTTTGAAACTTGATGGGCAAGGCCTCTGTGCATGATTAAATTTTAGGATACGAATATGAAAAATATGTGAATGTAAATTACTGTGCAGCAATGGTTTTTATTCTGCTTCATAATACGTTTTGAGTACTTTAGCTCATCCATGAACATCATTTCTACAGCAGTCCTGTAGGATACAATGAAGACGACAATTCCCACACAGTAAATCCTTTAGTGTTAAACTGTGTTAAATTAACAATGTAATTTGCTGTGGCGATGTGGTGGCGCAGTGGGTAGGGCTGTCGCCTCACAGCAAGGTCACTGGTTCGAGCCTTGGCTGGGTCAGTTGGCATTTCTGTGTGTAGTTTACAGGTGATTAAAATCATCTTTGTGATTTTTGAACTTTTGAACATGTTTTTTTGTTGTCATTGTAAAATTCTATGCTAATTATAAATAAAAAAATTTTTATATGTATGCATTTTTTTCCAAACAAATCAGTTAAAAAAACTTTCTTTTTGTCTTTTTCCTTTTTTTAATTAAGTTTTTTAACCGAACAACAGTGGTACTGGTATCTCGAGTCGTGACAAGTACAGCAATATTTATTCGACATTCCAATACATACAAATGCTTAAAAAGCAAAGACAGAAATAAAAGGAAATTATAATTATAATTATAAATTATAAAACCAAAGACACACACTGAGAAACACACAAGAATATTCCAGAGGGAGGAACAAATGCACCTGAACACCTCAGATCTCTGATGTAATTCCTAGGTTATTTTTTCCTGTGTTAAAATTATTATGATTTTTTTTTTCATATGGTAAAATTTGTGTTTTTGCATGTTCTTCCCATGTTCACGTGGGTTTCCTCCGGGTGCTCTGGTTTCCCCAACAGTCCAATGACATGTGGTAAAGATGAATTGGGTAAGCTAAATTGTCTGTAGTGTATGTATGTAAATGAGAGTGTATGGGTGTTTCCTGGTGATGTGTTGTGGCATCCGCTGCGTAAAACATATGCTGGATAAGTTGGCGGTTCATTTCGCTGTGGCGACCCCAGATTAATAAAGGGACTAAGCTGAAAATAAAATAAAAGAATAAATAATTGACTGTACATCAGCCAAACTTAGTCCATATTTAATGACAGCATCACAAATACGCCTGGTTTGTTGTGAATGCGTGTGCTCTGACAACGAAAGTTCCATACTGTGCATTAGTGAAATTTTTGTTGAGTATATGCAATATTATTGTTGAGTGTTGCAATAACGATATTTTAAAAAATATTTTATAAAAACTATATTTTTATAAGCTCTGTTTTGAAATCATTTATTTATGTAATGGCAACATTACACAAATGTTCAATGTTACACATGTCTAAAATGGGAGATTGTATTATCATGATAACAATAATTTAGCGATTATATTGTGCAGCCCTACATGAATTGCATTTTTCCATCCTTTTTCTCCATCATAGATTTAGTTTTTTTCTTTAGGAACCAAGCTAAAAAAGAAACTGCAGTAAGTCGCACATGATTCATTTTGACAGCATACGACAAATGTTGGCCTGTGTGTCCTTGAATTTTATTCACAGTTGTGCAGATAAGAACCAGTTTGTCCTCTTTTTTGCCTTCATACAAAGATTGTATTGGTGTGAAACCATCTTTTCCAACCCAAACCGCTCTTGTGCGGTGTTGTTATCTGAGTTGTCACGAGCATTCTAGGTCAAAGTGTTTTACTGTTGTACTTATTGTGCCGCAAGTGAGACTTATCTTTTAACAAACTAGCCAACACAACAGCTTTGATCACACAAAATGAGTCTCCAATTGAACTGCTTGAGATGTGTAATTATGACGTGAAAGTCTATAAACTGATAAAATCACCCTGTTATCTTTTTGGCCATTTGCTTTATATTTCGCTGGCATATGCCAGTACATTTAAGTGCTCTTTACCTAAAAAAAAGAAAAGAAAAAGTAATTTTTGCTATGGTTGCTTCTTAGAACAAAATGGTTTTTTTTTTTAGGTTGTATTGTTCCACTAGACAGGACAAGATTGTGGCTCCATATACCACATTTTACAGATATCGCAGTTGTAGTCAGTAAATGAGTTTGTAAACTCACATAATTGCATGAAAGTTTAGATGATGTTTAACCTTTGACCATTTTGCAAAATATATATATATACACACACACAGTATAAACGCTTTCATACAGTTGAAGTCAGAATTATTAGCCCCCCTTTGAATTTTCTTTTCTTTTTTTAAAATATTTCCCAAATGACGTTTAACAGAGCAAGGAAGGACATTTTCACAGTGTGTCTGTTAATATTTTTTTTCCTTTAGAGCAGTTTTGTGCCATGTTTTCAGATGACAATTGGCTTTTATTTGACTTTTTTCTATCACTTTAGATTAGTGTAATGTATTTTATTTTCAATTTTTGAATGAAATCTTCTGCGGGCCCTAAATGTATCTTTTAAATATGCTTACTGCTTGCATCATTGTATAATTGTTTGTCCTCAGGACTAAATGCGCTAAAGTGCTTTTTGTGAATGTGGATGAACCCTGCTAAATGTCAGAATATGCTAGAATGGTTATTTGTAAGATGGTTTGAATGGACAGGAGCCCCAGAGGCACAATATTAAATTAAAAAGAGATTTCTAAGTCACATGCTGACGTATTAAATAAGCTGTGTTACGTCTCACAAGACCATTGCATGGTAGTCAGTTGTGATTGATTGATAAATAGGATGTTTCCTCTTTTTTCATTGTTTAATTAGATTATTTTTTATGTAAAGAGTAAAAATTGGCTAATTAAGAATATTATAAGTTCTTGAATATAGAATAAGGCCATATAGACATGAATAATTTTATTTATGATTTATTTAACTGCATATGTGGTCACATTTTGAGTGACATAACATGTAGAAACTGAAAGAATCTGTTTAATGTTTAGCACAGATGCGGTTTCTTCTGGGTTTTTTATTAAACCATTGTCAATGTTTTTAATGTCGAATAGAACCGCTAAAAGCATGCTGCGTCTTAAGGCCTCCTGCCAGCAGATCAGAAAACACTAAGTAGAGCTTTATTCAGACAATGTTGAGCCAGCCATGCTTGCAGCATTAAATCTATTGACATTTCTAGCCTTACAGCTGCAGTTCTGGATTTAAAACCAAAACAAAATTGGCAATTGTGGCAATTATGCATTAAATATATACTTAACATACTATATATACTTAAGAATAATATAAGTCTAATATGAGTTAATGTGTGTTTATGGTAAGAATGTGTTTTATTTAACGTCTTTACTAATATATAATTACAGTATAATCAGTAATCTTATCATCATTGAACCCTTTATAGGGCACTCCATTAAATAGGAATTGGAAAATACCTGGAGTATTACTGTGGGTTATTACAAATTTTTCCCAGAAATGGGTTGCGGCTGGAAGGGCATCCGCTGCGTAAAAACTTGTTGGATAAGTTGGCGGTTCATTACACTGTGGCGACCCCGGATAAATAAAGGAACTAAGCCGACAAGAAAATGAATGAACGAGGATATTACAAATGTTTTAACTCTTATGACTAACTCTTATGGCTAACAGTGTACAAGTAAATTTATAATACTTACTATACTATATTATACTTAATACTTATTTTACTATGGCTCCCATCATGTTGTTGTATAATGCCATTTAGGCATGTAGACATGGTCAAGACGATCTGCTGCAGTTCAAATCGTGCATCAGAATGGGGAAAAAGATGATTTAAGTGACTTTGAACGTGGCATGGTTGTTGGTGCCAGATCTGGTTTTAGTATTTCAGAAACTGCTGATCTACTGGGATTTTCATGCACAACCATCTCTAGGGTTTACAGAGAATTGTCAGAAAAAAAGAAAATATCCAATGAGTGGCAATCTGTGGGTGCAAATGCCAGAGGTCAGAGGAGAATGACCATACTGGTTTGAGCTGATAGAAAGGCAACAGTAACTCAAATAACCACTTGTTACAACTGAGGTATGCAGAAGAGCATCTCTGAACGCACAACACGCCCAACCATGAGGCAGGTGGGCTACAGCCGCAGAAAACCACACCAAGCTCACCAATATTGGATAATGGAAGATGTGAACTTTGCTTGGTCTCAATTTCTGATGCGACATTCGGATGGTAGGATCAGAATTTGGCGTTAGCAACATGAAAGCATGGATTTATCCTGCCTTGTATCAGTGGTTCAGGCTGGTGGTGGTGGTGTAATGGTGTGAGAGATATTTTTTGGCACATTTTGGGCCCATTAGTACCAATTGAGCTTTGTGTCAACACCACCCAAGTATTGTTGCTGACCATGTCCATCCCTTTATAACCACAGTGTACCCATCTTCTGATGGCTACTTCCAGCAGGATAATGCACAATGTCATAAAATGTGAATCATCTCAGACTGGTTTCTTGAACATGACATGAGTTCAGTTCACTGATGTGGCCTTCAAAATTGCCAGAACTCAATCCCATAGAGCACTTTTGGGATTCGCAACTGCGTGCAGCCAACAAATTTGCAGCAACTGCATGATGTTATCATGTTAATATGGACTAAAATCTCTGAGGAATATTTCCAGTACCTTGTTGAATCTATGCCACGAAGGATTAAGGCAGTTGTGAAGGCAAAAAGGGGTCCAACCCAATACTAGTAAGGTGTACCTAATAAAGTGGCTGGTGAGAGTATGCATGTATGTATGTATGTTTTTTCACCCTATTTACCTGCAGTATCTTGGCTTTATGTTTTACAGCACGTCACCTGCAGTCCTCGGTAATGATGACCAAATGGACCACTATCCACTGACCCTTCACTGACCATCCAGGAGCCTCATTGCTCCGTGTGTTCCTCAGCATGGGGGACACTGTCCAAATGCACTTCAGCACGGTAGATTATGTGATTTTCGTCGTGCTATTAGTGGCATCCGCAGGAATCGGCCTTTACTACGCCTTCTCAGGGGGTCGGCAGAGGACCACACAGGAGTTCCTGCTGGCCGACCGTAGCATGCGCTGCCTTCCCGTATCACTTTCACTGTTAGCCACCTTTCAGTCAGCTGTGGCCATCCTGGGTGCCCCGTCTGAGATCTACACCTATGGCACACAGTACTGGTTCCTAGGCTGCTCCTACTTCCTGGGCCTGCTCATTCCTGCACACATTTTCATCCCAGTTTTCTATCGCCTCCGCCTCAGCAGTGCATATGAGGTAGTGCCTTTTTAATAAAATAAAGTCTAGCATAATGCTCAAATTTTGACTGCAGCGTTCACTTCAGATGTGATCAGAATAAAATTATCAGTGTGTGTTGTGCTATTTAAAGGTGCCCTTGAATGATAATATGAATTTGTGAAATACCTTGGCGTAGCTGAATTATTAGAGGTACATAGAAATTACACACTGTGAGCTTGAAACACCATTGTTTTTCTCATGTTAATCTTGTGAGATTAAAACAGCTAAATCAGAACTAAACCCAAACTCTGAAGGTGACATGGGATCATTAATATTTACAGTATAATATTTAAAAAAAATTTCCACTTTACTTTTAAGTATATCTAATTTTGTATTTAATAGGGGTTTAATGGATCATGGTTGATCCGTGATTCGTTCGGATCACAAGCCTCAGTTCAGAACACGTGTCTCGCAGAATAATAAATATTTTTTACTAGTAGATTAATCCTAAATTTGTAACAATCACTGGGAAATCGCCTCTTGTGTCATTCAAATCACATGTATGAAAGCATTTAGGCTTTCTTGTAAAATATGGATGACGGAATAAGTTGTGGTGGGTTATTCGGGATGTGGTGGGTTTCATTAAAGGCGTTTTCTGTCACTACTTGTTTAGCTACATTAATGCATTCAAGGTAAGCTGCACAATCATTAAAAGATTGGGATCTTAACACCCACGCAACATTCATTATAAATGATGGTGATTTCCATATGTTTATTAATCCTTCGAATTGCTGCATTCAAATCTGTGTTTGAAAAACGCAAAAATCAAGAAAGTTATTCAGGTTTTAGTCTGAGTTACAAAGATTGAATTAACAGAAGTACTGGGAGAAAAGTTAATAGTTTTTGATAAAACCACTGATGTTTTATAAATGTTGTACGCTGGGTTGTACAAATTATAATGTTAGATTTATACATTGTGTAACATTAGTAGCAACAGTAGTAGTAACAGTACTGAATATTTTACAGTTATTTTTATTCATCTGATTATTTCTTCCTTTTTTAAAATAAAATTACAGGTTTTAAGTTCTGTTTGTTAAAACCAAAAGTGTCTTGCAGTACTATTTTTTTTTAATAAATGGAAAGCAAATTACATTTGTCTCCTCAACTTTTCAGCTGATCCGAAAAATGGTCCAATCTGTGACTAAAAAACCAATATGTAATCCGAACCGTGAGCTTTATGATCCATTACACCACTAGTAGTAAACATGCTATGCATGTAAGACTCTTATTTTGAAATTGGGAGAGGCAGGAAACTAAAAAGAAGCAGTTTTGTGAATAAGGTAGTCATGCATGACAGTGAGGTGTACATCAGAATGCAAAATGCAGGATATACAGATTATATATTTATTCAGCACCACCCCAAAGAGGCTGTTTAAAAGTGTCTTTTGCTAGTTTAACGTGTATATATTGTGAGATTTGCCAAGTATGTTTGTAATGAGGCATCAAAACACACAAAAACTGCTTATTATATGTGTTTAATGTACATTTATGCATCGTGTCATAGTCCTAAGCTCTTTCTTGGATGTTTCCAAGCTAAAAGTTGTCAAACTGACACAAGCTGCAGAGCGCATAAATATTCATGACTGTTCTAAAAATGGGCGAAACAGTGCTTTTTATTTTAGGGGTAATTCCTGTGGTCATAAATATGGAGCATATAAAGCTGTTTCTAGAGAATTCCTAAATTTACCTAAACCACATACCTACTATGTAGATGTCAGAAAAAAATTTAGCATATTGAATAAACACTCTATCGCACCTCTAATAGTGTTAAGCAGTGTTTCTCAACCACGTTCCTGGAGGACCATCAACACTGCATGTTTAGCATGTCTGCTTTGTCTGTCACACCTATCACATGTTTTTCAATCTTTGCTAATGAGCTGATGATCTAAATCAGGTGTGTTTGATTAAGGAGACTTAGGAGACAATGTGCAGAGCTGGTGGTCCTCTAGGAATGCAGTTGACGAACACTGTTGTTGAGTATAATACGATGTAAACTAGATCAGCATTTATTATATATATATATATATATATATATATATATATATATATATATATATATATATATATATATATATATATATATATATATATATTATTCTATGGTCTATATATGGTTTATATTAATATTAAACTGCATTATTTTTCAATTTTTCATAGTATCTGGAGCTTCGTTTTAGCAAAAGTGTTCGGATATGTGGCACTGTGACCTTCATTTTTCAAATGGTGAGTTGAATGGATGTGTATATTACTCAATAATCCAATGTTAATATTGTCTTTAACTCCAGTTTTGTTAGGCAGAAAGACACCCTGCTGTCAATATGAAAACATGAACTTGCACCTACAAACTTATGCTGACCCCTACTGATATGGACAATATTTTACTCAGCATTGTTGATCTTAACTGTAATGATTCTCAAAGTATCGTTTGCTAGAAAGGGGAATGTTTAAAGAAAAAAAGTTTTGTCCGAAAACAATCGAATGTTCTTTAATCCTGTATGTCTGTTTATGTATTTTATGCAGGTAATCTATATGGGAGTTGTCCTGTATGCTCCTGCACTTGCACTTAATGCAGGTAAATTAGACCTCTGAAATTTTACCTGACACATGTGTGCGTGCGTACGTGTGTGTGTGTGTGTGTGTCACTATTTATAAGATCAGTCGATTATTTCATGTTTTTGTAATTTGTTTGTGTTCACAGTAACGGGTTTTGACCTTTGGGGGGCAGTGCTGGCAATGGGGCTAGTTTGTACACTTTATACAGCATTGGTAAGTCAGATTAATCACTTTTTCAGCATATTGTTTACTTGTGGGATAAATGGATTGTCCTATAAAAGTTCAGGCAACAATTTTTATCTAGACACACTTTAAATGAAATATTTTTAAATGTGAATCCTTCTAAAATTGTACAATTATTATCAAAAATAAACCTTAAAAACTATTTTTAATTTTATCTCATGTATTATCATCATTATTATTGGTATTATTATTATTTTACCCTCTGTATTATTTATTGCTGTTGGTGACTTTAAATTGTTAAAATATTTATTTTTATAACTATAAAAAAGTTGTATTTATAAAATGTGGTAAATTTTATCCTTTTTTTTGCCATGACATAGCCATAGAAGCTGAAATGGGAATAAACTCAATTCTCTCCCCTATAAAAGTTAACTTATTATATATACATTGTCACTTTAATTGAGCAGGGATGCATTCAACTGATTGAAAGTGGCACAAAAAACGATTTTACAGTGATTTATTATTATTTTTTTTTTCAAAATATTACTGCTTTTTGAACTTTTGTGTCATGACAGAATATGTATAACAGGGAAATCTTTAAAAATCATCAGGATTTCTGCAAAATTTTTTGTATATAACTGTTTTCAACTTTCTGAGCACAAAAGCACAGCATATCTGAGAAAAAAAGACCCTTTAAAGTAGACAATTTCTCTTTTTAGTGCTTTCAAAGCCCTAATAACTAACTTTTGGATTAAAAAAATATATTATTTTATAAAAGTCACAGCATAACATTTTTACAAAAAAAAAACTGTTTAAATGTTACCGAGTTTTGAACACTATTAATCAATTAACCCTTTTATTAACTTAAAAACACACATGAAATTACACAAATTACACAAGAATAACACCAAAAAAACTACAGATATAGTAGTAAAAAAAACTAATATTTTTTGCAAATATTAATTTTGGAAGTTTAAACTTTTTAATAAAAAAAAATCTCTGTCTTATGCTCCGATGGTTTGTCAATAGTTATATTCCTGTCTTATGGACACAATTCAATTCCAAAAGTGTGAGAGATGTGTGAAAGACTAAATATATTATTTAAATGTTACTGATATAACTGCATAGGTAGTTATACAAAATGTATTTTTGTTACATATAGGCAATCCATACACACCCAGGCACAAATGCAATATAAGCTTTAAAATAGAAAGCAGTTATTTTTGGTTAAATAAATGCAAAACAAATGTTACCTTTTGAACAGTATCTTATGTTATATCACACCTGTTGCTTTTCTCTATTTTAGGGTGGTCTGAAAGCAGTGATCTGGACAGACGTGTTTCAGACAATCGTTATGTTTGCAGGGCAACTGGCAGTGATCGTGGTGGGCACACACCAGGCAGGCGGCATCGCTGAAGTGTGGAGGAAAGCACAAAATGGCAGCCGTATCGCAGGCCTTGAGTGAGCAATACAGTTTTACATGTTCTTGATTGCCTTAGAGGAACAGTTCACACAAAAATTACAGTTTTTTTTAAATATTTACTTGGGCCTCTTCTGATTGAGTGTGTTTACATGCATGTTCTTGGTCAGTTTATGATTAATAAGCCAACAATGCTCTTGGTCATGCAAACGCGTTAACCTGTTGGAGTAAGGTCATTAACAGCTTAAGCAAAAAACATATTTTTTGCCCTTTGCCCTGCATGTAAATAGATTAAAGGTTTCTAAAAGTGTTCGTTTGTGATATGTGACAGGAACATATCTTTACTGTGGATTTAAGTAGATACAGAACCCCCCACAAAACATTTTGTGTTAAGGGAGGAGGAAATGTACTAAAAACTGATATAGGTATCATAACATTGTCTTCTTATTTTGTGCATCAAAAGGAGAAGCGGTACATTCACAATTCTGCATCTGGAGTAAATAATAGGTTTAACTATTTATTTAAGTTCAGTGAGATACACCAATGAATATGTTTCAACATAGACATATGTTGGCATTCAATACATCAAGATAATAAATGCATGCAATTTTAATATTGTGAGTATTTCAAAATAATGTAAATAATAATTTATTATTTATACTTTTATAAAGTGCTTTTTAGGAGCATAAGTTTGTATTTGCAGTGACTATTTATGGGGCTATTCACTCAAAAAATGTCTTGCTGTTTGTTCAAACTGCTTATTTCAAATGAGTTGAAACAACACAATTGTTTTGTTTTTTGTTTTTTTTAGGGGACAATTTAATCATTTTTACAAGTTTAAGCGGATTGAACATAAAACAATTAAGTTAACCAAATCAATTTGCGTTGAGACAACATGAAGGAATTGTGTGGAACCCTGCATTTTTTGTGTGTGTTGAACCCTGTTGTGCATTAACACTGTGCAATGAGGCTTCAATAGTTGTCTAATAGTTAGATAGTCTAATAGTAGAGACTCTAATAGTTATTAACTCATGATGAAAACAACAAAAGCTTTTATTAGTCCGAGTGATGTTAATTTCTCATTTAATGCCTAATAATGCATTAAAATTGTAGTCGCAATCTGATTACGTTTTATTAAACAGAGTTAATAACTAATCAAATTTATTTTTAAAAATATTTTTTGCATTAATATTAACACAGTAGCTATAATATATCTGGCTTTTTTCACTGTTGATTTTAAACTATTAACATTTACTAGTGGGACTTTATTGCAAAGTGTTACCTGTTGTATTTATAATCCCTTTGCAATTGATATTGTTTAAAAGATATGTTTACTCTGTATTTACATGTATTTACAGTTAAGCAATGCACTAACTGTTTTTTGATATTATACTTGGTAAAGTAATCTTTTTTGCAGCTTAGTTCAATATGATAATATGATATACTATTCTCCGAGTTAGAAAGAGCTTTATTGCCAGTACACACATTTACACAAAAAAGAAGTTTGTTTTCATGATGGAAATTTTAAAGTTAAAAGAAAAAATTAAAAGAAAAAGATGTAGAAAAAAAATGTATTACAAAATAATCTTCAACAATTAACTGCAACACGAAAATTCAATATAGTCATAGAGTAAGTATTTTAAGATCACTACTTGGAAAAAAACATATTTATTTATAAAGTCAAAGGGGTTTACTTGTATGGTGAGATACTAGTTCACTAGTAAATTGGGATTACATGAATAAACTGATTTTTGGGAGTGTTCATGTACAATACTGTAAATGTGCTCATTGAATTTTTAAGTGAACTGCTACTTTAAGATTATGTAGGACACACTGATCCACATACCAGGACTGCAACTGAAGCTTTCATTCATTGTTTTGTTGACCGCATGGCAGTCTGAACCCTGACCCTTTAGAGAGGCACACTTTCTGGACCCTAGGAGTTGGAGGTGTTTTTCTCATGCTGGCCCTGTATGGAGTGAACCAGGCTCAGGTCCAGAGATACCTCAGCTCCCGCACGGAGAAAGAGGCCATCATGTAAGAAAACACCCAGCCCATCCTCATGATGGTTAATTTAATAGAGACTATAAACTTATTATATACACCATTCATGCTGTTTCTGTTGTGTTGTGTTAAGAAAGAATATAACTATGTTATGTTGTTTTCAACTGCCTCTCTGTTTTTTTTTTTCATGAAGAGGCCTGTACATTGTGTCTTGTTCTCCAGGTCCTGCTATGCGGTGTTTCCTTGTCAGCAGGTTGTGCTCACATTGGGCTGTTTGATGGGTTTGGTTATGTACGCTCGATATGGGGAGGAAAGCCCTCTGGATCAGGGCTACGTTACAACTAATGATCAGGTCAGAAACAAATAAAAATATGGTAACACTTCAGTTTAAGTCACAATTCTATTAACTACTGGCTTATTACCGGCCTATTATTGCAATATTAATTGTTTTTAGTAGTTATTAATTATGATATTATTCAACATTCTTAATTCTAAACCCAACTTTTACTTTACTAACTATTAACAAGCAGCTTATTAGCAGTTTATTGAGATAATAGTATTAGTTAATGGTTTTTAATAGCATAAATCAAAGCTAAAACCCCAAAAATATATAATACTTTTTTATATTTGTGGGTCAGTATTTTTATTTTCCTCCATTAATTCAGCAAGGATGTATTAATGACTGGCTTTTGATTGGCTGACATGCTAGGAACCACTTCTTACACGGCATCCTAAATGGCCAGCATACAAACAAGCACATTTTATGGGAAGAAGAGAGACATGTAAAATGCTTTTCAAATGTTTTTTACTACAATTATTACATATATATATATATATATATATATATATATATATATATATATATATATATATATATATATATATATATATATATATATATATATATTTATTTATTTATTTATTTATTTATTTGTTTATTAAATTGTTTATTAAATTGTTGGTAACAATAAATTTATCTTTCAAAGCTGTTATATTGTTTGTGTTACAAAATATCATGCTTTTTTAAATGTCCACTATAGTGGACACCAGGACCATCTTAATGTAATTAATGACTGCATGTTGTAGGAGGCAGAACTGAAGCAGAGAGGATTTTTTAAAAGATAGTTGAGGGAGACTCTGACTTAGAGTCTGACAATCAGACAATTAGTGACGATTAGAGAATGACAATCAGTTTTAAATTGTTTTTATGTTGAGTTTGTTTTGGATTAACATCACTTCTTCTTTTTTTGTTTTTGTTTATTTGAGTTCAGCTCTCTTTCAGACTAAACTGTTTCAGGAATTTCAATACAAAAGGAAATTTTTTTATTTATTTAATTTTTTATTTTGTTACATTATTGTTGGATTAATATCCCTTTACTGCCTTATCCTGTACAATTTTGTTATCTGAGTTTGGCGGTCGTTTTTAACTAAAGTGGTCCTGTGGACATGCTGTAAAATGAAAAATAAGAACAAAACATAAAAACTCTAAATTGTAGATTTTTTTTTTTTGACCCAAAGGATGTAAGAAATCACAAAAAAGCAGCAAATAATATTTTTTTTCTTTGGGTCTCAGGAGGTAAATATTAATAGGCAGCTAATTAGCAGTTTATTGAGATAATAGTATTAGTTAATGGGTTTTAATAGCATGAATTAAATCTAAAACCAATATATATATATATATATATATATATATATATATATATATATATATATATATATATATATATATATATATATATATATATGTGTATGTGTGTGTGTGTGTGTGTGTGTGTGTGTGTGAAATTTCCCATGTTAAATGGAGCAAAGATGTTTTCATAGTATTTCCTATAATATTTTTTTCTTATTTCTTATAGTTTAACTGGAAGGAACATGTATATCTAAATATATAAATGAACAAAATACTCTTGTCCACTTAAGTAACTTAACTTGCCTACTTAACATAATTAACCTAGTTAAGTCTTTAAATCCCATTCCTTTCAGCTGAATACTAGTAACTTGCAATACAGCTAGTAAAATATTATGTACTCTCATTATGAAAAAGACAATATGCTTAGTTATACAACATTGTTAGTATATTAAATATATCATGTTTAAAGATGTCTTGAAAAAAAGTCTTCTCTTCCTTAAGCAGCATTGGTAAATATTTGAAAAATAATTAATATTTCACAGGAGGACTAATAATTTTCTCTTTACTTATACATAATGTGTAACTCTTTACCTCTCTGTCCATCTGCAGATGGTGTTGTATTTTGTAATGGATGTGTTGAGGGATCTTCCTGGTTTGCCAGGACTATTTGTCGCTTGCCTTTTTAGTGGAGCTCTAAGGTATTACCACTTTTTGTCACCACGACTCCTGTTTTACAAACAGACTTCATTACATATCTAATACCAATGCCCACTTTATTTTACAGCACAATCTCATCTGCCTTTAACTCTCTGGCAACAGTAACCATGGAGGACCTGATCAAACCTCATGTCCCAGCCATGACAGAGGCCCGCGCCACTCTGTTATCCAAAATGTTGGGTAAGCTGACTGTCTAAAAGGCAGAGCTTATAATTGGAGTGGACCATATCCTCTAAAATGTTCCATACTAACTGAAAGCTTTTATTAATTAATTAATTAATTTATATTAATTATATTTCCACACAGCTCTTGCCTATGGGCTTGTGTGTTTGGCTATGGCGTACATCGCGTCCTTAATGGGGTCTGTGCTGCAGGTGAGTCTTTTAATTGGATATAGTAATAAAGTCAATAAAGATAAAACTGAGGTGTTGTTATATAGAGTTTGGCCCTACAGTGAGCATCATTTTTCCTAATGTTTACAGGCAGCACTCAGTATTTTTGGGATGGTGGGAGGACCTCTACTTGGTCTTTTTTGTCTCGGGATGTTTTTCCCTTGGGCCAATTCCACTGTAAGTAAGACAGTAAACTTTTCTAAAGGTTGATGTCAGTAACATTTTTAAAAAATGTATTTGTATTTATTTAATCAAATTTGAGTAAACAGCGGAGATTACAATTACATAACAATTTATACAGTTAAATTAACAGTTGTTTTTTTTAAAACAGAAATAGTATAATCTTCATCAATCAAAGTGCTCAGCATATACAAGTGCACCCCTCACAAATCTATCTTTTAAGTTAGTATATAAACTATTTTTAATTATATTTATAAACTATTTTTGCAATATTTGGCTTGAATTTAATTGTATTATCTTTCAATTTCTAAATATGTTTGGTGACTAAAATAATATTTTAATAAATATATCTGTTTAATAAATCTGTTTTGTTTAAATATTTGAAAATACGTTACCTATATTTTCAAAATGGGGTGTACTCAAATATGCTGAGCATGAAGTGGATCAAAACTTTTTTCAAAACAGTCAAAATTATTTTCAAATTATTATTATTATGTTTCCCCTTAACAATATTAACCTCAGTTCAACAACTGCCTGATGTGTTATCTTTGACTAATGTATAAATTAGTTTGATCTGAAACATTAAATTGTGATAAGCGCAATGCAGCATGAACGCAACAGAGCTTTTATTATGTCTTAGTCGGCCGCTTCCAGTTATTCCTGTTGTGATCACATGGAGAAAAGCAGTGCTGCTATATCATACTAAATGCATTTTAGGGTTCTGTTATAATTTTGATGTGGGCAGTCTAATAAAACACTCAACACATTACAGGGATGTGATTCTTCCGTTTAAATACGTATTTCTGTATTTTTCGTAGTCTGTGGGGCATTCTCTATAATTTGCGTAAATCAAAAGTTTTTTTTTTTTTGAAGGTTGTGGTTATGGTCATTAATCAATTAATGATTATGTATTCATTAATTCAGTGCTACATCCTAGCACATCTTTTATACTTCATTAAAATTAGGTTATTAAAAACGGACTAAGCCGAAGGAAAGGGAAAGTGATAAACTCTTACAAACGATGTATGATTATTATTTTTTTTCAGGGTGGAAAGTTAAAGCATATTAGGCTACTCAATTAAACTGGACTTAATATTTTTACAGTTCGAATTGTCGACTGACTAGCAGTTTATTTATCATGTTGGAATAAAGAATTGACTGAATTACAGGGAAAGTTATATTATGTGGACACAAGAGAACTAACCGAGTTAGTGGCAGTATGTGGATCTGATTCCCTGTTTTCTATAAAAACAAACCATAAATTGAGGGTGTATGATGTCATAAGCATGACCATACAAGACAGTGTGTGTCACTAGTTAAAAAAGTAACTAGTTAAAAAATATTTCTCTGTATTTTAATTTTATTTTCAATTTTATTCTTTGAAACATTTGAGATAATACAAGTGCACAAGTCAGCAATGCATATAACACCGTTCTACTGGATATTATAATGAAAAAATCCTACACATTGTTAAAAACTGAGTTTTCTGATTTAAAGACAACTACTCTTCCCGATCACAAAGTTTTGAATAGTTTTATAACTATTTATCTTTAAGGTATCTCATCAGGAATGCAGCCATTAAATGATTCGGTGTTATGATGTGATTTAATGGAATGAGTGTTTGTTTGTTTTTGTTTGTTTGTTTTTTCAGGGTGCACTGGTTGGACTGGCATCAGGACTGGTCATGGCTTTCTGGATCGGCATCGGCAGCTTTGTTTCACGAATGTCTCCCTCTGCACTACCTGTGATCAATGCCACCATCATACCCGATGTGGGAAACATGACGACAGCTGTCATGACGACACTCACCACAACTAAACCCAGGTGCAAAGAAGCCAATGATGCTTTCCTCAGACCAATCATCTGATAATAGTTGATGAAGCCTTTTGAAATTGTTAAACTTGATCATTTATCGTATCGTCTTGTCTTCTCAGGCCTTCTGGAGTTCAGGCTCTGTACTCTTTGTCATATATGTGGTACAGTGCTCATAATTCAGCTACAGTTGTGGTGGTGGGACTGGTGGTCAGCTTTCTTACAGGTGAAGTGTGTTTCTAATAAATGCTGTATATGGTCATAAACCAGGTTATATGATGTTGTTGGATATATGAGCCTTATAATAGTTCAAAGTTTAGTTTATCGATGTCAAATTTTAATGGCTTTAGTTACTGATAAAGTTTCTTTTATAGAAACGCTGGTTTGCATAAGCAATTTATTGTCTAGTCATAGTGAGCAGATGTTTTCAAAATGGAGTCAGCAAATTTGAGAAAAAAGGAAAACAAAACATAATTTTCTTTTATGTTATCAATTTATGTTTTTTTTTTCCTTTTGTTTATTTTGTAATTTGGCATTTTAGGATATCATTATAGGATCTATTATAAGAATATTTTTTTTTTATAACAGTATACTTGGGTAACTATAACATTCATTCATGTGTTCATTTCCTTCTCAGCTTAGTTCCTTTGTTTAATCTGTAACTATAAAATAAAAGCTTTATATTATGTAATAATCACTTATGATGTACAGGTAATTGTTTTATTCATGTCAGTTAAGTTTTATTAATCACAGTACATCAACTTTTTTTTTTTGTAAAGTTTTTCTCTTCAAGTTTTCTTTTTTTAGATGACCGAAAAAGCAAATTCAGTAACTAAACTTTTTGTGATTTGTGTCTGTTTAGGACCCTGGAAGGAGAAAGATTTAAACCCAGGTACGGTTTATCCAGTGCTTGGAAATTTGCTGTTTTTTCTGCCTCAGCGCTACAGGGAGAAACTCTGCTGTGTAACTCCTCTGGAAGACAAGGTACATCACTCAAAGCTTAGCAATTACAAATTAAACTTCAGCTTCATTAACAACATTCACACTTTCATTATTAACACATTCAATCCCAAACTTGTCAAAACTGTGTGAGTGTCTTTTTCTGGAACCTCCAGAAGGGTTGCTCTTGGCTTCGGGATAGACATTCAACTTTTTTATGAAAATCTTAGATTGTTTTGATTCGAAATGTAGCAATGTCACATGATCAGATCAGTTTACCTACTCACTGCTTGCACATCTAGAAAAAGTTAGAGGAATAAATTTGACTTAATTCTGATCAGTAGAACAACACATTAGCTATGTTTCCTTCCACCTGTTTTTATGTGCATTTTGGAAAATTGCAAAAAGGAAACGCCTAGATGTGCATAAACTTATACACTCAATCTAGTAGTCTAGAAACGTTTTATCCGTTAAAAAACTGCATAAACTACGATGGAAACACATTTACTAAATTGATTCCAGCATGCACATTAAAAAAGTCATGTAAATATGTTTTATTACAAGATAATATGATAACAAAAATGCTGCGATGGGATGGCATTAATGGACAAACCAGCAAACGACCATATTGTAAAACATCTAAAGTGGGTGGCACGGTGGCTCAGTGGTTAGCACTGACGCCTCACAACAAGAAGGTTGCCCCAGCTGGGCCAGTTCAGTGCATTTCTGGGTAGCGTTTACATGTTCTCCCCATATTCACAGTATTTTGGGTGTTCCGCTTTCCCCCACAGTCGAACAACATGTTGTGTAAGTGAATTGGGTAAATAAAAATTGACTGTAGTGTATGAGTGTCTTTGTGAATGCGAGAGTGTATGGGTGTTTCCCATTAGTGGGTTGCAGCTGGAAGGGCATCCACTGCCTAAAGCATATGCTGACGGAAGCGTCAGCCAATCATATCGCTATATGCAAATACACCAGCTAGACAGTGGCCTATTGCTGACTGAATTTCATTGGCTGACGCTGCTATGACGATCGCGTCAGCTCCAACTTCAGACACACCTTCAGTCAAGCTTAAGGATTAAAATGCAAGTACTGAAATTGCAAGAAAAAATGTGGGATTAAAGGGACAGGGCTCTTAAAACTGAAAATCATGTCATCATTCACTCATACCTCACTTGTCACAAACCTGTTTGACACTGTCTTCTGTTGAACACAAAAAAGATATTTTGAAGATGTTGGTAACCTGTAATCATTGACTTCCATACTATTTGTTTTGTCTTACTATGGAACTCAATGGTTACCGGTTTCTGAAATTCTTCAAAATATCTTTTTTTGTGTGTTTAACAGAACAAAGAAATAAAGGTTTGGAATTTATTCCAAATTAAATCTATTAAATCTATTTACTATTTGAGGGGAGTAAATAGTGAGGAAATATTCATTTTTGGGTGTTTTATCTCTTTCATGGTTGTTTATAAATTATTATTTATGCTTTAGTCCAAAGATCTGGACCGTCAACCTTACCAGATGGCCCAGAAAGAGAGCAACGGTGTAGCCTGCACTAAAGAGGAAGACAAACTCAGGGAAGAGGAAGGAGAACGTGTAACTGCCCAACCGACTTGTAACCTCGCCCATACTCTACAAGAAACAGCCTTGTGACAACAACAGTTCAAGGGTAACTCAATCTCCTGCAGGCTTTAGGAGAAAAATGTTGGTTCCGATGCCAAAATGGTTTAAATGTACGACCTCACCGTTCCCTCCTATCGAATTGGTCCATAAGCTGTGGTTTGTATCTGCAATATTGGTACGATGTGCCCTGAACTGCCAGTGATGGAGGTTTGGGGGGTTGTCTGTTTATATGTGCTGCTTCATGATGCCAGTGGTCTGTTTTATCGAATTTGAGATCCCGTTAAATGAACTCGCTCAAGAGATCAACTAAATAATTTTGTTTACTCGTCCTAAAATTGAATCTTTAGAAAATAGTTTGCTCATCTAAGATGTAGGTGACTTTTTTTTTCTACTAGTTCTTCAGTAGAACATTTAAGGAAGCTACAATCGTGGTCCTTGGTGATTCATATTTAGTCAATAGCCTATGGAACTTTGAGTTTAAAAAACAATTACAATCTTCTTTAACCCTTGTGTAACCTCATTTCCTTTCATTAATCTATTTTACACTAGGTACAAAATATAGTCACACTCAGGACCTTCAGGACGAAAATATCCCTTTTTGAAACTAATTCATTCATTCATTCATTCATTCATTTTCCTTTAGCTTAGTCTCTGATTGATCAGAGGTTGCCACAGCGGAATCAACCACCATCCATTCCAGCATAGGTTTTACACAGAGGATGCCCTTCCAGCTGCAACGCAGTACTGGGAAACACCCATACACTCTTGCATTCACACACACGCACTTACACAGTGGCCAATTTGGTTTATCCAGTTCTTTTTTGTATTCTTTTTTCAATTCTGAGATGATGCGCCAACATTAGATGTTTGATAATTGGCTTATACCAGACTCTTAAGACCCTGTCCACACGAACGGGTATTTTCAAAATCACTTTTTCTATGTGGTTTCGCTATTTGTCCCCACGAAAACGGAGTATTGGGGTGACTGAAACCTAAATGTTCTGAAAACTTCAGCCAGGGTGAAGATTTTATGAAACTCTGTGTACAGTGTGGTTTTTTACTCCATGACATCTTCGTGCACACTGTTTCTACTTTCTAATTAGCTAACACGGCTGGGATCACACCAAACATAGAAGAAGCGAATGAGGCAAATTCTGCTCAAGTATTCCTTAATATGCAACCTTGGGACAGTAATCCGCCTCTATTCTCATGTCTGCAATGACTTGATGCAATTTACACCTGAAATAAACTTAATGAAAAATACTTAAGGGTGTGAACTCGACATAAAAATGTCTTTAACTCCGCCTGTTGGTTTGGCGTGCCCTTAACATGCATCTCAGTGCATTTTTGCATTTTCATGTGGACAGAGATTTCTTTAAAAACATATCGGGGGGGAAAACATTTTTTTTAAAAACCTTTGTAGTTGTGGAGATGGTCTAAAAATCCAAAAATATCAGCTAAGGCTTTCAGTATTTAGAAATTATTAAAATAAAAATATACTAAATATAATAAAATATATTAAAGCAGCAACAAGAACACTAGCATTATGTAAATAAACAGTGATTTAAAAAGTTAAACAATTTTAAATCCAATGATTTGTTGGTAGTTCTCATCAGGACTGATGCTGGTATAGAAATATACATCATCTAAAGTGTAAAATACATTAAAATATAATGCTTTAATTACTCTTTTTTTTTTTTTTTTTTTTGACATGGCCATTTTTGTTCTCTATGAACTTAATATTTTTACATTGACACACGAGTGTTCATGTTCTACTGAATAAAAAAAGTCACCTACATCTTGGATAGTCTGAGGATATTGACAGCTATTTTTATTTTTAGGACTAAATTATCCCTTTAATATTACTTATACTGATAAATATATGTACATCCATGGAATGAAAGGTTAAGCTGGATGGTTTATCTCTCTAAAGACCACGATTTGCACAAATCCTTTTCATTCGATGTCATAATTTTGGGGGTTTTCTCTCCCAAAGCTTTTGTTTCGTCCAAAGTTCACTACCATGAGCCTTTCCATTCTGTTTGCCTTCGAAAAAACACTACAGTCAATACGTTTGATCCCTAAACCACGTTTACAGTGAATGAAGAATTGCTAGTACTTCAAATGTAAAATGTAGTAAACGTCCACCGTGATCTCTGCAGTATAAAAAAGTGCCATATTGTAATAGATTCAATTACTGGAATGCATGTAGAATCTGTAGTTCCCTCATTGAAGCCCATTCGTTTGTGACAAGTGCCTCCTCACATGAATGTATGATGTAGTTTTGTGAATGGATTTTTTTGCTTAAGTCCGGCGTTTCATAGTCTATAACCCAAACAGAGCATGGCTTTAATGGGTTTTACGCATCTGGATTCCTCACTATTGAATTCCCATGATGCTTTGCAGTGCGAGAGCTTGGCTAACTATACTTTAGCATTGCAAAAAAAGGTTTAAATTAGCCTAGATTTAATCTTGGTATATATTATTATTAGTGTTGGGTACAAAAAAAGTGATAGATTACAATCTTAAAGTGATACTAGGGCTGCACAATATATTGCTTCAGCATCGATATCACAACGTAATCATTCACAATAATCACGTTGCAGGATATGCAATGTTGAGTGAGTCTTTATATTATTAATTTGTGTTTTTGAGGCCTGCGACTGTATAATGATTTTAAAAGCATTCACGGCTAAGAAACTGTACCGTTTGTAACGTTAATATTGACTAATTTTATTTAATTATTTTTATTATTTAATTACTATACCTAAATACTGCTAGACCCAGAAAACGATAAAACATTGTTTATTTTAATTGAATCTTGTATTTTTTAATTGCATTGATCTTTGTTTGTAGGTGGTTATTTTTATTTTAGTCTGATGCACTTCTCTATAGAATCATCTCAGCCGATCTAATGTGATTTAATCCTTTTCAAATAGAGATATTCGAGTCATCTGCTGAAATGGTAATCATATTGCAATATATATCGCAGAATAACTAAATATCGCAATGATTGATTTTTCTAATATCATGCTGCTCTAATTAATAGTTCACCCAAAAAAGAAAAAAAAAAAATTGCAATTCTGTCATAATTTACTCACCCTTTATTTTAAACCTTTTTGAGTTTCTTTCTTCAGTTCAACACAAAAGAGGATATTTAGATATTTCGAGCTAGCTCTCTGCAACTCTCACATGGTCGCCCACTGAATCTAAGCAGGCCTGCGCCTGGTCAGTACCTCGATGGGAGACCACATGAGAAGGCTTGGTTGCTGGCGGAAATGGTGTTAGAGAGGCCAGCAGAGGGCATTCAACCTGTGGCCTGTGTGGGCCCTAACGCTCCAGTATAGTGAAGGGGACTGCTCAGTAAGCACCGTCTTTCGGATGAGATGTTAAACCGAGGTCCTGACTCTTTGTGGTCATTAAAAATCTGAGGATGTACTTTGAAAAAGAGTAGGGGTTTAACCAAGGCATCCTGGCCAAATTTCCCCACTGGCCTCCGTCTATTATGGCCTCCTAACCATCCCTTAATCATAATTAGCTTCATCTCTTTCCACCTATGAGCTGGTGTGTGGTGTGCGCTCTGGCGCTGTCTGGCCATCACGTAATCCAGGTGGATGCTGCACACTGGGGGTGGATAAGGAGATTCCCCTCAATTTATAAAGTGATTTGAGTGTCTAGAAAAGCGATATATAAATGTAAACAATTATTATTATTATTAATATTACTATTATTAAATGTTGAAAACCGGTATCATTGACTTCCATGTTGTTTGTTTTTCCTATTAAAGAAGTCAGTGGTAACAGGTTTTCAGCATTCTTCAGAATATCTTCTTTTGTGTTTAACAGTAAAAAGAAAGTCTTAAAGTTTTATAACGACTTGGTGGGTGAGTAAACTTTTGGGTGAACCATCCCTTTAAGCCTATCTTATTCTTTATTTGATTGTTTTTTTCAATAGTTTAACATATGCAAAATATAAAAACACAGCACAGACGTTCACATTACTTTCCTTAAAAAGTAACACATTAGTTTTTTTAAGTGACTTTAGATTGTATTGTATTACTTTTAAAAGTAACTTACCCAACACTGGTTATTATACTAATATATGTATTATATGATGTAATTTTTTAAAATTTCTCTATCTTATTTAATCTTTTAGATATAGAAGATGCTTGTTATAGTATTAAGAGTACAAGGAACACAAACTGCATAGAATTGAAACCTCATTGTGAGTTACTGATCATAATTGTCAGTATTAGCACATGACCTGGTTGCACTTGTTTTATCGTATAGTTTGATTTGTTTTATTGGTGTTAAAGTGGTGTTTTTTTCTTCTTCTTCTGTGCTTTGCTGTCTAGTCCCAATTCACAGCTCAGTCTACTCTAAGCCATACCATTTGTAGTTGTTGTATTGTGCCTGAAGGAAGCTTTCCCTAAACGTGTCACAATCCCACAAGCACACAGTGGGTTATCTTTTCAGGTTATGCGCTCTGGGTCAAGAATTTGTTGAAGTCTTTCATCTATTAATCGAAGGTTTGTTTGTTTGTTTGTTTATTGTGGGTGTTTCATTTTGGTCCGGTCAGTTTTACATTTGTTTCCAAAGAATCATGCTATGCGGCTTCATGTTCATCACACTCCATTATTATTGAGTTCATTTTTTTATTAACACACCATTCGCACCACATCTCGCTGATTTTAGTGTGGAATTTTTTCGAATAGCGTGACGTGATAATATTTTACTATTATTATTATGTTTTTGGAAGCTTTTTCACAACATGATAAAATAAAATTTGTTCTTATTTAAAGCCTTTTTATCTCACATTTCTGACCTTCTGTTGCAGTTGTAAGTTTTAGGCTTCTGTAGATATCACGTTTTCTGTTGGAATTAATTGCTGAAGCTTTATATAGACGATTTACAGTATTATAACTGCACAAATTAATGTTTTACTAACCTAAAAATACTTAGAGTACTGATTTATTCTATATACATGTTCAAAGTAAATAAAAAAAAAAATAGGTTACACTTGACAATAGTAACGTTATTGATGCATTGACAAATATCTAGTTAAAATAGTTAGAAATACTGAATACTGAATCTTATTATTTATCAACTCCATTTAATAAAACATTTGATTTTAATGCATTAATAAGCATTAACTAAGAAATTGGCAGATTAATAAGTCTTATTCCAGTTGTCATTGCATTGACTTAAGTTAAATTAATTGATGTTAGCAAGTGGAACCTTACTTTAAAGAATTTTCAGTGTCGTAGGCCAGATTACAATGGAAAAGTAATGTTTGAAAATAAATCGTCTATTCAGTCATTTTGTGCAGTGACAAACAACCAATAAAACAACAATCAGAATATTCTTTAAAAGGTGGCACACGTCTAGCTTGTATCATAATTTATTTGGTTATTCGATGAGAGTTATTATTATACATTAAAACTCCAGAATTGCAAGATTTTAAGGAAAAAAGTCAGAATTGCAAGATGTAAACTTCTAACTTCTAAAAAGTCTAACACTGACTTTTAAATTACAATTTGTATGTTGATCTTCAAGATATATACTCAGATTTCAGACCTTTTCAGACTTGCATCTTGAGTTTATATCTTACAGTTCTGCCTTTTTCAGCATTTGGAGGTAGAAATATTAAAATGATTTTATATAAAATGACAATTCAGAGAAGAACTGTCAGAATTGTGAGATTTTAAACTAGCAATCATAAGAAAGCCAGAATTGTGAGAAAAAATATTCTATTTTTGTGGCTTAATTTTATTCATGTTATTACTGATTGCTTTTTTACGCAAGATACAACATACACCCCTACACCTTACACTCATCCTTCATTCAGTTCCATTCCATTACACTACATCTCACAACTTATTTTAAGACGAAAGTTTAAAATGCATTTCAACACACCACTGCAATCCCTTGCTGTTATTAGTCTGTGTGTTTTCATTTGAGCTCCATATACTGACAGAAGCAGATTATGCATTTTTTGGCCTAACAGTATTAGCTGCAAAACAACATTCGTTAGTTAGAAGATTGTAGTTGTTTTCGACAGATATGCGTTTAATGTGCAGCCATACTTTAACCAACAACAGCACTCATTTAATCCATCCAGTTCAATCTGTTAGATTTTGACATTTATTTTAGGTATAAAAAATACTCTTATGTTTTTGCAACTCGAGCATTCCAATCAAGGGGTTCATTGGAGATCATCCCTTTTTTGTAAAATACAAACATTCACTGTACAAAAATATCTGTTAATAGTTTCTGTGGTTAGTTCACAAGATTCGCAAGTGTTTTCAGTTTATTTACTGTTGTGAATTGCATTATTAGAGTTTTGTGAACTTTTGATGTTGAGAACTCATTAATACAGTTTACAAAGTGACTTTTATTGACATTTGAGTAGTTTGAAGTAATATAATGCATAAGAAATTATAAAGAACTTGAAGCTGCAAGCAGCAATGAAAGTGACCTCGCACCCGGGCTCACCGCCACCCGGTGGCCTTAGGATGACGGAGAACAGTGGAGAATAATAATTTAATCTGATAAATATATAAAAAAAATCACATCAGAGAAAAATCACAGATTTATGCCGAACTTCCTCCTGTCAGCAGGTGGTGCTATGACTGTGACTTAATTTTGGCATATACTGTAGATGTCCTCAGAAGAGGAATCTCATCGAACCTGGGATTTTTTTTTTAGGCAGATCAGACATTTTTATAAGTCCTTCCTCCTCCATGGCGAAACACTGAACTTTGTCAGTCCGCCACGAACACGCCCTTCGACGAACTTCTAGATTTTCACAAGTTAACATCCCAAAGGCCTTTGGATCAAACTGACAAAACTTGGATTCGGTCTGATAAAATTTGTAGTTTGTTACAGTGTAAAACGGCATTTCTTGTTGCCACAAGGTGGCGTTATAACTTTAACTGGAGATTGGCAAGTAAACGTGTTCAGGTCAGTGCTGTTATCAAACGTGTAGAATTTGAGGCAGATCGGACAATGCATGTCTGAGTTATAAATTCCTGTTTTGTTGCGACTCTAGATCTTTGCAATTTTACATCACCAAGGCCTTTAGTTGACGATACCTAATTTTGGTGTTGATCTGATAAAATCCCTTGGAGGAGTTTGTTAAAGTACAACGCCTGGAAATGCCACTTTTTCAGCACAGGAAGTTAAAAATATTTGACTTCCTGTTGGGCTTGAGATTTCGCTCCAAAAGACTTTTTTTGTAGGTATTGGCATGTTTGATGTGTGTCCCAATTTTTGTACTTGTGCGTGAATCGTAGCTCGGGGGCCAGTCCGTCAAATGGTCATAGGTGGCGCTGTCAAGTCATTTTGCCACATTCACTTTTGAAACCTATAATAAAAGTACTTTTTTGCATTTAGTTTTCGGGCATGTTTACACCCTCTAAAATGCACTTTATTCCAGAGAAGAAGAAGAAACGGAGCAATTCCAATAGGGCCTATGCACTGTTCTGGTGCTCGGTCCCTAATAATAAGTCAGAAATTATTCTGGTAGTTTATTACAAGGTTTTTGTAGCGTATCATACCCAGCCCAGACAATTTATCACTTTAAATGATTAAAAATCTTAATAAAAGTCACTTTTTTTTTAAAATACTTTTCAAGGTTAAAAGTTGTTGAAAGATAGATCGAGATCCCATAATGCAATCCAAAAGCATAAATAAACTGAGAAAATAAAACATAACTAAAATACAGAACAAAACCCAAAATACAGAAAACTGTTAATTTACAGATATTTTTTACAGCGTAGCTTGATTCTAATATTTTTTTTTTTTTGCATTGTGTTAAATCAATTTTCTGACATTCATGATTACATGTGGATCAATCGCATGTAGAGTTGCCTCTGTCATCCGTCATACCTGAAATTACTTGAATTTATGTGTGCAAAATGCTTTAAACCACATGAACTTTTAATAGCATTCAGCACTTGCGTTCAATGACTGAATATCGCTTCGGTATTGTTCCATTGACGACCTGTCGGAATGTCTTAATTCAAACTGTGTTTCCCATACAAGCGATGAAAGAAGGAACAAATCAAAAGCACACAGTAAATCAAAATGTTAAGCACAAGCAGGGAATGATCATGAACTATGCTGTCCTACAATCGAAAACTGTGTAAACCTAAGAGAATCTATCTTGGGTGAAAAACAAAACAAACAAAATACTGAGTTCTACTGTGAGAATAGTTTTTTATGGCATTTTTTAATCTTCATTTTATACGGAAAGTGCAACTCTTGTTAGTGCAAAATAAATATTTGGATACATAATATTTACCTTTGTATAAATATTATGAGAATATTTATTTTTTTATTGAAGTATTACCTGTTTTTGATTTCCTCCAAAGATGCATTCCAGAAAGCCATAAGCAATGGAGTCTGACCAGCTTCATTACTTTGGTCGTGCCTTCACTTATAGTGTCTCTTTATTTGATTGGTCCCGAAAGTTCTCGCCTGGAACTTTCCTTTATTGTGTGGAAAAAAAAAAGAGGCAGTTGCGTTGGCCTGCAGAGCGTCTATAGCGATGATACCTTTTATTTATGTACTGTAGATGAACATAGAATCGAGGAAGCAATGCATTAAGCCACTCTTGTGGGCATTATTTCCAATCACGAACACTCATTTTTCCTCTTGATGAATTGTTTGTAATGAGAAAGTGATATAAAATTTGTCTTGATAACAATAAAAATGTGTTCCTGGGTGGTTTTTGTTGGTGGTCACTTCAGTTTTTGCCACATAAAGGTGCTTTATTAACCATTTTATTGGTATTGCATTAAAACAAATAATCACAATGAAGTTAAATTTAGCTTTGAGTGGCGTAAGGAACACAATTTAACCAAAGAAATGGGTCAAAATTGTGTTTTTAGAGTGGACGTTCAAGGGTTAAAGGATGCTCCAAGGTTTAAATTTCATATTGTTTAATATCTTGAACTGTATTGATCGCGTTTAAACACATCAGCATCAAATCACTCTGAAATATTTCACAAGCAAGCGTCTGTCAATTTATAATCATGTGAAGCACAATTCCTCTTAAAGGGACAGCTCACCCAAAAATGACATTTCTGTTATTATTTATTTACACAAGTTTTTCCAAAATTGCGATTGGCTTACTATGGAAGTCCAATTTTTGTTTACCAACGTTCTTCAAAATATCTTCTTTTGAGCAGAATCAAAAGATATGTTGGTGACCAAAAGTTGATGGTCCCCATTGACTACCATAGTAGAGTTCACCAAAATCATTGTTGGTCCCAATGGCTTACTATGGAAGCAATGATTTTGGTTTAGTTTGTTCTTTAGAATATCTTGTCTCTTGTTTTCAGCAGATGAAATAACCTGTATGAGGTTTGGAACATGTGAAGAGGGAAAAATTATGCCAGTTTAAAACATTTTTGAAGGGTGAACTATCCCTTTAAAGCACAATTGTTATATATTCCTAGCAGTGCGAATGCATTTCTTTATAAGAGCTTTGACAATGCAGATTACAGTATGTATTTGTAGTGAGGATTGTGTTTTTCCTACATGGTAATCACTTTATAAATGCGTTTATTAGAGTCCCATGAGTGTGAATTAGAATGGATCATTTCCGCTTCCTGTTCTCTACAATCTTGACAAAGTTCTGCACATCTTCAGCCAGTAACTGTGGTTCCTCCATAGCTGCAAAATGGCCTCCACGAGCAATGGGTGTGTAAGACTTGAGGTTACGGTATTTGTCTGTTACCCACAGTTTCGGGGTGTGCAAAAGCTCATTAGGGAAAGAAGCCACACCTGTCGGAACGTGAACCGGAAGCCTATTGGGTAAAAAGAGACACAATAATGAGTTGATTTATTTTATTGTGCATTCTACATAGAGTTGACTTTGAGCAAGAAAGCTTTGATTTAGAGCAGTGGTCACCAAACTTGTTCCTGGAGGGCCGGTGTCCTGCAGATTTTAACTTCAACCCTAATCAAACACACCTGAACAAACTAATCAAGAGCTGCGTCCCAAATGGCACACTATACACTATGCACTCATGCACTATGTACTTATGCACTTACACACTCAACAGGATAGTATATGTATGTAGTGTCGTCCCAAATGGCACACTAATGTTTTTTTACTAAGCGGAAATTCAAACCGTTTCCCTGATCACGTTTGACGGTTGCCAAATCAGTGAAATAAACGACCGAATTATCAGATAATACCTGCTGTGAGTATAACCGCATTCACCATCGGAAGGCACTAAAATCACTCTCGTAGGAGAATTTTGCTTTCACCATCCAAAATAAATAAAGTTATTCAACATGTGCGTCTGATAGCTCCGCCCCTTCCGCTACGTAAACAAACCTGCGGTCGTTGAGTGCGTGAAGTGTCCATCATTACACACTTCATTTTAGCGGCTGAATGAGTGCATCATCCGGGTAATTGAAGTGCTCTTATTATTTTTAGAGTTTTCAGTGTAAACACACTACTTAAACTATTTATACTACAAAATGGCGTAGAATAGTGCATAAGTATGCGATTTGGGACGCAGCTAAGGTCTTACTAGGTATACTTGAGACATCCAGGCTGGTGTGTTGAGGCAAGATGGAGCTAAACCCTGCAGGGACACCGGCCCTCCAGGACCAGGATTGGTGACCCCTGATTTAGAGACCATTTTACATTATTTCATACAATCAAATTCATCTTAATAAATATATAAAACATCAGGAAAACATTTCCTCATGTATTAAAAGATTAGTTAACCCCAAAACGGAGAATCTCTCATCATTTACTCGCCCTCATCCTGCGGTCACACTTGATTTTAAGCTTGCGAAATTCTGTCGTACAGCGCTGCGAAAAGGGGCGGGATTAAACAAGATGATTAGACGATTAAAAAAGCAAGTGATTGGTCCATATTTAGAGTTCCTGTCCAGAGAGGTCATGTTTTGATCCTTGATTGGTCTCACGCAGTCAAGAGATGCGATTTCTAAGATCAGAGTCCACCAAGCTTGAACTTTCCAACGCAGCGAACTGCAAAACTTGTGTTTCCGGTCTGACACATTCGTGTGCGTATGAATGGAAGTCTATGGGGAGAAAAGTCCAGTGTGACCGCAGCTTTAAATCGTACCAAACCAATAATGAAAATAAACTTTTTTTAAAAAGTCTAAATGAGATCTGTTCATTTTAAAGTGATTGCACTACTCCAAATGACTTTGATTAAACCAGTCAACTCCTGTAGATTTATACTTCTCATTGTAACACTTCTGAAGTTTCTTAGTGAACAGCCTTTCAATTGAGGGACAAAAATCTCTCAGATTTGATTAATGATTATATATATTATTATTTGTGTTTCGAAGATACATTTCTTATGAAATTAAAACAATGTAGGAATTTAGAGTAATATCTGAATGAATAGCGAAGACTAAACCTGTTCCGTACACAATGATGTTCCGTACAGATTACCTTTTAACGCCAATCTCTGAAGAAATACAAGTCGTAGACAAGCTATATATTTGTGTAATCCTTATTTCCCACTCTTTCACCCCCGATCAAAACAAAGACCCTCCTAACATTTGCTTCCGAAAAAATTCTGTAAGTTTGCTACCTCCACCTAATGCACTTGAAAATAGACAGTGGGCAAGCTAAAGATGCGAATGTTGCTTTGGGAGACATTTAATGCAATAATTTAAGCATGACACAGAATTGCTGTCTTTATGAAATGAAAATTATGTTATCACAAATTATTAAATAAATTATCTTTTGTTGAAAAAATGTTTTGAAATGGGGATGTTTTAACATCAGTTGTGGGTGATGACCACATGGTGCAACTCTCCGCCAGAAAGTGAGGATGAGAAACAGGCTGCAAACACTATTTGGTTTATCTTTGTGTAGTGATGATGTTCATATGCATAAAAGGCCTGTCAAGTTAACGTAAATTTGCATGAATTTAATGTTTTAATATTTAAAATTTTCATGCTATAACAAAATAAACATGATTTAAAAATTAATTGATTGTAGAGTTATATCACTTCAAACTTTCATAAAAAGTTATTATATATAACATTACCTTAAAGTTAAACACAATAATAGTATATTCTGACGTTGGTTTTTAATAAGACTTAAAATAATTTCCATTTTTGCAGGTGAAATGGTGAAAATGGTTAGTGTACGTTACATTATTTGTCACTGAATACACGCTGTCACTAATTAATAGAGGATATTAATAAACCAAATCATTCATTTAAGTTGTTATATCACTGTATTGTTGTACACAATATTACGGAACTTACTGTATTTTAAGAAAATTAATCCATCCTTGGTTGAGCCGAAGAGCTTAGAATGACCAAGAGGCGACACTCTGGTGTAATTTAAGAAACAGCCACTAGAGGGTGGGGCGGCCATTTTGGAATGAAAACTCCAATAGAACAACATGCATATTAAAAGTCTGTAAAATAAACTATTAAAAGTGCCGATGTTTGTGATAATACGTGTTGTATTGTCATCTTTCAGGTTGTATCTTAGCTTTAATGCGCTTTTTAAATAAATAAATAAAAATCAAAGCAGCGGCTTGCCATCGAGAAAGTAATGAGATCCAATGGACAGCCGATCACTTTCACTCCAAAATGGCGGAATCCGGGGCTGTTGCTGGGCGCTGCTGTTGCAATGGAACGTTCTATTGAGTGTCGCCTCTTGGTCATTCTAAGCTCTTTGGTTGAGGCAAAGACTATAGAATACCCAAGACATGTCAAACGTATACTCTTGAATGGGAAAATGTAACTGTCAATATGGCGATTGAAGCCCCGCCTTTTAGTTAAGGAGCCAATCATCGATTGCTATATGGCGAATAAAACCTGCCTTCAAGTACAGGAGCCAATCAGCGATCGCTATAGAATGACAATTCTCTGGGGGAGGGACTCAGACCAGATGTGAGTTTTTGCAGATTTTGTGTGATTTGAACATTTAGAGATTAAATTAAATAGACAGTTGTTCTTTATTAGTGATTCCTAATATGAAATGTAATCGTAAGCCTGGCATTAGATTTAGAGAATTTGACGTTTCCTCATTCAAACAGAATGCCCGAGCATACTGCCCGAGAGGTGTTTCAAATATGGCCGCCGACAACTTTGGTTGAGCATAAGAAACTTATTTAAAAAAAAAAAAAAGAGCAATCTTACCTAACCCCAGATTCTATGTATGTATTTAGCATTTACATTGCAGATCAGTTTCTACAGTATGTCCAAATAATTCTGGCAACACTATATTGATTAGTACTGAATTACAAGTTTCGTTATTAAATCAAAGCCTATAGTTCTCTTACTTTGCATGAGGCTGGTTCAGGCCTTTGCCAAAGTTCTCCTTGTAGAAACGCATGGAGGATATAATGCATCCAGAAGTCCAGTAGATCATCACATTCGTCAGAAGATCATCAAGAGAATACTTCCTGTTGGGAAATCATGAGATGTTTTAACCCCACACGTTTAATTGACCTACAATAAAATGTAAATGGTAACTGTACTCCAAAATGAAAATGACAAACACTCAACTTTAACTCGATGATGACTGAAAATTTGAATTTTTTTTCATTTTGGAATAAACTGATGTTTTTTACTAAAACAATATCTATACCTCTCCAGTCCACCGTCCTCAAGCTTCCTAAATTCAGGGTCAGTCCAGGTTGAGAATTTCTCCAAAATGTAAGCAGCCAAACCAACAGGGGAGTCATTCAACCCACGGCCTGTACAAAACAAATGATGTTATTAAATAAACCAAACACTGAATATAATCCAATCGGCCAACATCACAAGAGTATGCAAGAAGCATGCTCTATAGACATGTATTGACAAGAACAACAATGGATGTATAAAACTGAGATGTAAATATAAAACTGAATATTTCTGACCTGCAGTGTCAGGTTTAGTGGCCTGTATGTGCATGTATCCAGTCTCCCTCAAAGCATCCACTACAAGCTTGTCCATGCAGGGGAATAGACGTTTCACATCATGCTCGGTGAAGCCAAAGAGTTTGGGGAATCGACGGCCGAAAATTAAAGATAAGCCCATAAGAACACTGCCTTGTGCAGGGGGAGCGAAGTTAATGTGGAGACCTTTTACAGCACTGAGGAGAAAATCAAGCGAACAACAAAAACACTTCATTTTTCACACAATATGTTTTGTTAATTCAACTTTTTAAAATGGTTAGTTCACCCCAAATTAAAAGTAAAATCATTTATCGACGTTATTATGATAAAATCTATATAATAAATTACATGCAAGTCAGAATTATTTGCCCCCCCTGTTTATTTTTTCTCCCAATTTCTGTTTAACGGAGAGCAGATTTTTTTTCAACACATTTCTAAACATAATAGTTTTAATAACTCATTTCTAATAACTGATTTACTTTATGTCTGCCATGATGACAGTACATAATATTTGACTAGATATTTTTCAAGACACTTAAAGTGACATTTAATGGCTTAACTAGGTTAATTAGGTTAACTAGGCAGATTAGGGTAATTAAGCAAGTTATTGTAAAATGATGGTTTGTTCTGTAGACAATAAACAAAAATAGCTTGAAGGGGCTAAAAATTTTGACCTTAAAATGGCTTTTAAAAATTAAAAACAAAATAAATTTTTTTTTTTAGTCAAAATAAAACAAATACGACTCTCTCCAGAGTAAAAAATAGACATACTGTGAAAATTTTGGGAAATATTTAAAAAAGAAAATAAATGAGCAGGGCGACCTATTACTCATATGACATCACTGTAACAAAAAAATCATACAATTCATGCATCCAATCAAAATCAAGTTCTGCACTATTACAATTTCTGGTTGAGGAGCATTTTTGACTCCGATATACATATAATATAAGCAGGTAAAAAAAATTATCCCTTTTTACTTAGGTTTCATGTCAGCTTTAAGTGCATTTTGCCTTTTTGCACAGTGAGAAGATTTAATATTAATAATAATAATAACAAACTTTACTTTCATATAGCTCTTTTAAAAGTAGCATCTCAAGACACTTTACAGACATAAAATGTGCAGCGGTAAAAGATGCATACAAAAATGAACTAATGAAGTAATAATAAAAGTATTTAAAAACAGAAAATAATAATAATAATAATAGTAGAAATGTATAAAATTCAACCATTTAAGCTATCAAAGGAATTTGACTAAAATATATTCAGATTTTAAAATATATACTCACACATAACTGTTATTTCTTTGCACTATTTCACATTATTACTCTTATACTGTTATTTTAGTATTTTGACTTTACGTTTTATATGAGCTTAAAAGAATAAAGACCTTGAATACAGTCAAAAACAAAGTTGAGCTTAAAAAAATGTTAAGAAGCACTGCCTTTATACATACTTGGGCTCCAACTGAGCCATATTCGTGGTAATCATGGACCCCCAATCTCCTCCCTGAACATAGTACTGGGTGAATCCAAGGCGCTTCATCAGTTTATTGAATATATGAGCAGCACACACTGTGTCAAAACCTGTGCAAAACAAATTATAACAATACTGGCTTTTTAACAAACCACACCAATCAATATGTGCTTGAAACAATAAGATGTCTGCTGGACTGAGTTGTTCTTTACCTTTCTTGTGTGATGCTTCTGAAAAGCCGTAACCAGGTATCGAGGGGCAAATGACTTCAAAGGTTATGTCATCTGGATTAGATGGCTCTGTGAGCAGGGGGATGATGCCGTAAAACTCATAAAAAGAGCCAGGCCATCCGTGAACCATCATCAGTGGTACAGCGCGGGTTCCCTCTGGCAGGTTCTTCGGTTTCACGTGAACATAGTGAATATCAATGCCTTTTAGGATAAACAAAGTAACAATAATATTATTTTTGCTTTATTATTGTGTACTATGATGTATACTGCCTGGCCCTAGAAGTTGAAAAAGGTCCAAATGTAAGAAAAAAAAAATCGTAATTGGCAAACATATTAAACTTTTTTATGAGTTCAAATAATGCCTAAAACCTAAATACAGTTCCATTTGATTATCAGTTAACAAAGACGGTATTGTTATAACTAAAAATCATAGTAGTCTATAATTTGATCGTTATTGCAGTATTTGTTATGTTTTTGCTTTGTTTTGTTGTAATTCTAAGTGACGCAATCTATCCGCTTGTTAAGTGACATCACGCAAAGCGGCTTCCGGGTCCAAGCGCTCTAGTCAACTGAATGAGGAGACTCATGAAATGGTAATAATAAGCGTTTACAAAGCGATTAAAGGGTTTCAAAAATCACGATCGCAGTATATATGTACATGCCTAATATCCGATGGCCAGAAAGTGATGCATTTTTTTTTATAAATTGTTACATTTTTGGTATTTGTTATGCAGCAAGCCCAGAGATTGTTGTGTACACTATGATTTTATATAAAATTAACTTTAATGTTTGATAGGAATAAAACGTGATCATAAACGAATGATTTCTCCACTCAAATGAATGGTGGCTTGGACCCGGAAACGGTACACATACGTCACAAGCACGTCACCACTTAACAAGCGGATAGAAAAATTACTGGTTTGTAAACATTCAGGATGCACACGCACCAAAGTTGCAGAAATAAAGCGCTAGCATTTACAGCGAGTTAATGACATCCTATGCGGTACAGAGTTTGTTGTTGTATTAGAGATAAGTTATATTGATTACATAATATATACATTACTACGTAATGCTTTATAACAGCTTGTCAACCAGTGATAAGCAGTTATTCGACAAAATTAACGTTAAAGTGAACGGCGTTTATCTGACAGGTTTATTTGCGATGGCACCCTCCCAAGGGATATTGGATAAGACGAAAAGGCCAAGCATCCAGCCCCAAAAATACAACTATCTCATTGAAACTCCAAGTTTGTTTACATGAGAGAAGTTAAAGGCCTACAAGTCTTTGGATGCCAACAGTTTAGTTCAGTGTGGTCATGTGCAAGAAATAATGTTCCATGATTACCAGATTCAAACCTTTGTAGTACCGAGGTTCTGCCTAGCCAAAGACAAGGAAGAAGAAGACGGAACTGTACAAGGCCTGGGTAATCATCAACAAGCAAAACAACTGCATTTTGACAGCGAACTGCACCTGTACGGCAGGGTATGTGAACTTACATTTTTACATTTCAAAGTTAGTCAAAGACGTCTGTGGTTGGCATTAAAAGCAGTGTAGTGTACGATAAAATTTAAGTTTTCTATTTTTGTACTTTCTCAATTTTGACACACTACCGCACAACATGAGTCACGACATGTTTGCTTTTGCAACCAGTCATTTTTTGCAACCTGTATGCGCAGTTGAACCTGTGTGATATCATGTGTGATGTTGGTTGGTAATTCCCCTATAGCTTATCATTTTTTTTAATCATGTTGAAAGACATTTCCTGGATGATACCGCAAAAATAGGATTAAATTGTGAAAAAAAGCCTAATTTTCACATTAATTGACTTAAAATTAATCTTACTATAGCTGTGTAATGGTCAAGACTCACCTTCGATTTTGGTTTTGAAATGAGGATATTTGTTCAGTTTATCCAGTTGTTTTCCCCAATTAAAGTCCTTCCTCCAGTAAGACACAACCTTCTCAAGGTATTTGGAGTTGAAGCCGTAGTTGAACTGGCTGTCTTCAAGAGAAGGAAAGGAGCGGGTCTGGTCTAGCCTACGGTGTAGATCCTAAAGAATAGAAAACACAGCATTTCGAACAACAATGAACTGTGAAACAATTATGTGAGGCTTCATTCTGGTAATGAGATTCTAATTTACCTCAATCTCTTCAGGAGTCGTCTCAACTTTAAATGGCCGGATACTGTCATCCTCAGGTCCTTGGGGACAAGTTCCCATACCCCACCACCCATCCTGCACTTTCAGGACAGTCTTTCTCTTTTTTAGAAATATCAGAGCGACCACCAATCCGAGCCCCAATGCCACTATCACCTCTAGGTACATAGTTTATGGATCTGGAATAAAGAAAATAGTATTTTACCTTCTTGGAGTAACCTAAAGTGTAAAGGCAAAATGTAGCTCATGGGCTATCACTTTAATTTAACCTTTCAGCCACTGGGCAACAAAATTTTAAAGCATGCATGCTAGAAAATGGAGCAAAGGTTTATTGTTGCACAACACTCCCAACACTGGGATTAAGGTGAACAAAGCTCTGTGGTTACAACAAATGCGGGACCAATGAATGAGAAAGCTGTTCTCTGTCCAACTCCTAATGCACAGTAAATACCCTGTAAATAGGACGTTCAGAATGTGTGGCATTTTGATTATGAACTATTCACAGAAATGTGACAAACTTATCTGGCATTTTCCACAGTCAGATCAGATGATAAGCACATAATTAAACCATTTTATTCATCAAAGAAATGCAAGTTTAAATTATTTTCAAACGTAAATATTATTAAAATGCATCACCTTATTACTGTATTTTAATCAAACAAATGCAGGCTCTGAGAGCATAACTTGTTTGACAAACAATACCACATTTTAGGATTTACACACTTTTGAACCATAAGTATCTACTGTACTTTTCTGTCATTAGCAGGAACAACCGTAAACAAGTCACTAAAGACACTTGCGTTACTTGCAATAGCATTTAGTTTACCATAATACACTTTACTCAACTAAATGTCGCTGCCAATCAGTTTGATTTGTTTTGACAATTTAGAGATCGACATGAGTTGTCTACCAACACACTAACCGACTAACCTACTTTATTTTAGCTGAAGTGCAATATTAATAAACAAATAAACTAGCTAAAACGCCATGATTCAAAACACCAGATATGCCCACTCACCTCAAAAAGTAGCAAGATAAAATGCTGCGTTCATTTAGCACCAAGATGCAGTAACATGAGCCCAGTGCACCACGGGAAATGCAGTCAGACAGGTCGCTGCGCAGACTCCTTTCATTACATAAAAATGCAGCTCATATTACGTTTTATGTAACTCAATAGTGGTGTTTTTTGTTTTTATGACAATTAAGGGAAAATTATAGTAACAACTGCACACGAAGCGAACTTCTCATATCATGCTGTGATTTGAATGAATTTAACGGCTTTAAGACGTTAAAAAAAAACTAAAATCAAACGTCACAAACGTTTCCCTGACTTAATTTACGATTACCTGTAACGTTATTAGTTTGTTTTTGATTTTGGTACTGGAAGCATGCTCAAGATGAAACATATTAACTTACTTATTTAAAAGTGACGGTACATCTGACTGGAAATATTCAAGCAAAAGAAAGGAATTTGACAGGATAAGCGAAGTTTTTGGACTGGTCAATGGATTTTTGAGGTAAAAAGCTTTTATCTGACGACAAACTGTTTCAATAATTATTTCCCTATTTTCACAGACATGGTTTAGACAAAGTCAGGAAAAATACGTCCCAAGGAAGCCTAAAAAACTTTATCTAACGTTAGCTAACTTAACGTTACTGGTGTTCATCTTGAGGTAACGTTAATTTACCTTTTACAGTCTATGGTAAAACAATTGATACTGTTTTAACTGATACATTTTTAAGATTTTAAATTTATATTAATTGTAATCAATATAACGAACCATAACATACTTGACTGGGATTGTAATGATGAGATTGTTAAACCTGTTGTTTGAATGCTTTGTTACACCTACTGCGACCCTAAAGTGCACCTACTCCTTACAGTAATCTGTTGTTTTATTAACATTCACTAACCGCAAACCTTACAGTAACGAAAAAAACAGTTTATTGTTGTCCAGCATCACAAATATTTTGCCATATTTATGCGGACATAGCCACAACTGCAACTCTTCTAGCCATAATCAACCTACTAGTAAGTCCCTCACACATGTAAGCCTGGACCTAGGGGTCAGAGTATATTGAAATGTGTGGGTCTAAAACTTGATATTATTGACTAAAAAAAGCCCAGACTTGCATTCAGTCTACTAACAATATTATCTCTATAGTGAAAACATAACTAAGATGTACTTTTTTATTTTAGATATGCATTTTTAAAGAGTAGTATTAAAACGTTAACATTAATTTTTGCCGGAGGGAATGTGGCCATTATAAACTCTGAAAACTCATTATAGGTAAAACTGCAAAGATAAAAATCCAATTTAATGTTGCAGAAATGTAATTGGTAAAAAAATAAGGTTATAATGAAAATGTTACCATCCCTAAAACATTGTGCCAGTCAACAAATAGTAAAGTATTTAAAATAAGAAAAAATGCATTTGCCGTTACTTTAATAACTCTCAATAAAGGGGGTTAATCCAAAATGTTAAATTCTATCCTCATATACTTGTACTTAAATTGTCACAGACCTTTTTAAGTTTTTGTTGAAAACAAAAGAAGGTATTTTGAAAAATGCTGAAAACCTGTCTGTAACCTCTGACCTCCATAGCATTCCTACTGTGGTTATTAATGGTTGCAAACATTTTTCAAAATATATTCTGCTCAACAGATAAAAAGAAATCTCACAGATTTGAAACCAGTTGAGGTCAATTTCATTGTGGGTTAAATATCCCATTAAATGTTTCTTAATTGCAATTATATTATAAAGTAAAATAGAATGGGAAGAAAAAAAAAATTATTAAGGATTAGTGTACATCAGGCTTAGATATACAAAATACAGACTTATGAAATTCATCCCTTGATGTTGCAGTTAAAAATCTACGTCCTCCAAACATTAAATAATAGGCAGACCAAATGAAAACAACAGTATGACCATTACAACGTTGTCCAACTTTCAGAATAACACAAATATCAGCCCCTTGTAAGATGCTCTGGCTGCTTGCTCTCCACATGAGCATATGGACATCAGTCAAAAAAACAATCAACCAAACGTCTTCTCGATCCTCCTAGAAATCAGTCTCTCTTCATTGTCAGTCAGACCGAGTCAAAAACAACTGTCCAATTCCAACGGTTTCATTTGACGACTTCAGTCTGTTTCCATTGACCCACTGTGAGTCTCTTTGGAGACCATTAATCTCATCAGTTTCCCATGCAGTTTCTCAACCTTCTTCACATCTTGGGCCTGGTCAGTCTTGTACTGTAAACACTGAGATGTAACAATTCAGTCAATATGACATGATCTACACAAGAAAACAATAACAGTTCAGTGTTCAACTTTGAAGTAAATTGAGGTCAAGTTGGTTTTATTTTCGCACATTCAGGCTTTCTCCTTAATAATATAACTTCAGGAAAGTATTCTTTGAAAAGTCTAAATAGGGAGATCATATTACCAGCCAATTACTATCTAGATTTTAATAGGAGTAGTTTCTATGTGAAGCCTTGGGTAAAAAAAAAAAAATCTGAGTGTTATCTTTGCTGATGGCCTGAGATTTGATAAACAAATGCAGTGGTCAAATCCTGCTTTTTTCAGCTTAGGCTCTTAAAAAGTCAAACATATTGTATTTACAAAAAAAAATAACTCACGCTTTCATTACTTCTTGGTTGGACTATTGTAACTCACTATGTTATTATGCAAGGCTTTTAACCAGTACCAAAAACATGACCAAGTCTTACGCTATTTGGACTGGCTGCCTGTGCACTATCGTGTCACTTTTAAAACTCTTTCCTTGTTTTTAAATCATTAAATGGTCTGGCACCTTCTTGTCTGTCAGACCTGTTGACTGAACATCAGCCTGGTCGGTTTCAGTCATCAAACCATAGATTATTATGCTAAGTCGAGGCTGAAACGCAGGGGTGATCTTGCTTTAGCAGTAGCTGGTCCTGGAGTGTGGAATGCTCCGCCCCTCTGTATTAGATCCAGGGATGAGCGATTAATTGAAAATAATCAAAATTGACATACAGAATCTTCAATCAACCTAATTTTTCCAGGACAATTTTTTTCAATTACTTTCCCTACTGCATGTGGAGTCACATGACCCCGCTCTGTTAAAAGCTGAGGTGGATTTATATTTCTGCAGCCACATCTCATTAAGTAGGATGATAAACCCATTCTTGAGCCTTACTTTGCACTACATTGACGATGACTGGAGGCTGCATTGAGATGCCTTGTTAAAGCATATTTTTCGCTACACACACACACACAAAGACACACACACACACACACACACACACATATATATATATATATATATATATATATATATATATTTTTTTTTTTTTTTTTTTTTTTACATAAAATTACTTTCTACTTTTAACATGAAAAACACTGATAGTAATTTAATTTGTTTTCAAAAGTACAAATTATTTATTTTCACTTTTTTATAATAAAAAAGGAGGCAATGGTGTTTCACTTCAGGAAATGCGTTTTAATTGTAACATTGTTCAATGAATAATCATAGATAGTAGATGCGTTTCGTTCAATTATTTTAAAATCAAGTAATGCACCCTTTATTTAGAAATATCTCGCTTGTAATATGTGAGCATATTTACTGTACAAAATTGTCAGTGAACTATGAGGGCAAAAATTTAAAAATAAATAATTAAAATAATCCTTCATTAATCAAAATGGAGTTAAAATGTTCAATTAATCGAGATTTCGAGGCAGCCCTAATTAGATCTATATCATCTCTGTCTGTTTTTAAATCTAGGTTGCAAACTTCTTGATTTTAATCGCAAAATTTTGTTTAAGTTATATTTTATAGTTTGTGTTGTGCAGCACATTAATCAACCTTTGGTTTTGTTTAATAGTGCTATATAAATAAAAACGGCATTGACATATCAAAGGTCATCATTGCTCACAGTGAATTAAATACTGTTATTTTAAAATCATGTTTACATACATTTTCAGACTGCCTATTTAAAGTACTCAGGTAAACAAATGTGCGAATATAAAACCAACTTTATCTAAATAACTTACAACAGCATCATCTGTGACCTTCATACAGAGATTTCCATCACAGTGTCTGTATTTCAGCACCACTCTGACCTGAAAGAACAACATTAGCACGATTACAGTGCATTCATCATGTTTAATATACTGCAGTCCTATTTTCTTTTGACTGGCAGTTAAATTTACAGATGAATGTATAGAGATACATTACATATTTGACATTTAAAACATACATCGAGGTATTTGCTCTGCTATACAACTTATATACATTTAATTAAGCTGCATTCGCACTGTAAATTATGGGAATGTGAGGCTTGTCTAGTCTGTACGTTAGCTTCAAACTACTATGTTGTTGGTCAGTTACCTTCATTGGGTCCGTCAAGTAAAGTTTTTCGGCAGCTCGCGCAAACTCTTCCCATGTTTGATAATAAGGCATGGTTTAGTAAACTCTGTATATAATGTATTTTAATAATACTTTAACGGCGAAGGAAATTACAGCTGTTTGAAGGAAAACCCAGGTGGCGTAAAATATGGCCACCTTAAGACTAGGAAAAACGTACTCTGATTGGTCGGTCGATGAACAGGCCAATAGAAAACATGCACACTGGCGAGTGAAGACTACGTCGTCTGATTTAAGGATCATGATTGGCGCGTTGACATAGAATTAGCGTGTAGAAGGACGAATTGGCATATATTGTAGTGAAGAGATAGGCGGGGATTAGTGGGAAAATTGTCACGTGGTATTAGTTACATTTTGCAGCAATGGTCAAGTCGGATCAATCATAGTTATTTGTGATGACTTTTTAAAATTAAAGAAAATGGTAGAATAAAAATAACTGTTAAATGTGTTATATATATTTATATTGTAATATATAATATCATTTGTAATATTAGATATTAAACAATCACATTTAAGGAATATATATATCCATATACACAAAGAACCTGTGATTTAAAGGAGAAATCGACTTTTTGAGCCCGCATGCGCCTTCTGCCGGTAAACAACGTACTTCTCGTATGGAACTACTGTGTCAAAAATTTTGCATGACGGGCCATAGAAGAGTTCTAGACTGACGTGTATTTACAGAGAGTGCTGCCTAGAGGAATATTTGAGAACTGTTAACAAAATTACATAACACCCCGAAAAGCAAAGCACAGACCATTTTAATGTGGTCTTGTCATTGCTCCGTAAACATTTCCTGCTTCAAGCTATTTCATAACTGTAACAAGAGACAATTCAATCATAACTTAATGTTAAAACAGTGATTATAACATTATTTATAAATATGTGGCTATTTTGAGTTCTCGGAAGCTATAGAAATAAAAAATGTAAAACAGGAAATATGTTGGGACCATTGCTTTTATTTACATCCCTCAAAATGTTCTACAGATGTTTTTTAGAGCGTTCTTTGTAAAACTGCTTTGGAATGACATTTGTTGTAATTTGGTTGAGTTAAATTTCACGATTAGACTACATAATTTAATAATTTATTTACATATTATTTCAGTTTTTAGGGCTGGATTATTCATTGCTCAGGGGCCCATCTGCACGTATGGCCCACCTGGTGGGAAATGTATTACAATTTATTTTTATTTAATGTAGTCTATAAACTTTTAAGATAAAAAACAATAATAAAACATACATTTTGTAATAGAAAAAACATGAACAACGTATCAAAAATCATGCAAGAATCAAAAAGGTGGCCCACAACTGTGCCTAGTGGCCTCTGAGTTCTTTACTCAGCCCTAGATACTGTAGGAAATAGTAAATATAGTTTAAAAATCAATGGCTGTTATACAAAGAAGGGACAACGAAAACAGTAAAGCATCGACTAGAATTAGAAATTTGACATTTCACTTTAAAACGTTGAACTATAGTTTACTATTTTGTCGTAAACCAAACACTTTTTGTGAAATGCTTCACTTTTGTTGAAAGCAGATTTACAGTATAAGCCATTCTCATAACAAGCTTTAGAGGACATTTGACATCAAACTCACAGCACATGCAAAGACTGAGTTTGTGTCGAGCACTACTGTGAACAAAGTTGCTTTAAAGTTATTATAAAAACACTGTATAGCTGCTCATGTTAAAAGACTGTCTATCACCTTATTTCTATGATTATGACAATACGTTGCAATCTGAAAATCAAATACAACCATATTTTTTTCTCAGGAATTATTTGAATTAATACAAAAGTTTTATACACTCGCCAGTGAAGTCTTTTTCTCATCCGGTCTCATTTTTTTTTATCTCATTTTGTCTTTTTTTCGAGTGTTATTATTAGGCCCAGACTGGTTCTGATGCTCATACACAGGAACATGTATTTATTTATTTATTTATTTATTTGTAAAATTATTTTATTGCAATATTTTTATTTCATTTTGTACATTTATTTTGTTTTTTTATTTATTTTATATATATTTTTTTAAATTATTTTGTTTATATACTATATTGTTTATAGTACAAGCCATTTTCCAATAAGAGAAATATGGATTACATTTAAAATTTTACAAAAAGGGTATAAAAAGTAAGAAAGAAAGAAAGAAAGAAAGAAAGAAAGAAAGAAAGAAAGAAAAGAAAAAAACAAGAAAAAACAAAAGGGCAATATTAATGGAGAATATTAAACAAAGAATATTAAACTGCTTTCTTATAGATGTTTAAATTGTATTTATGTACAGTTCTTATTCTTGTTTAAAAATCATAAAATGGGGTTTACATTTAGTATTTTTACATGTATGAATATAAAACTTTGCAATAAATAACATGAGGTTTGTAAAGAAACTTGAATTAAGGATTTTCCCCTTCAGTGTAAAACCTCAAAACAACATGTATAGTCTATAACTATAGGGCCAGATGGAATCTGCTGACATTTTTTGCTATTTCTGCGCAGAATTTAATATATGAAATAAAAAAGTAATACATTTATAACTTGCATTTAATGTTTACAATGCAAATCCAATTAGATCCACTTTATTTAGTAAACAAAGCAAGTCTCTCATATAATATATACTAAAAGACAGAAAATATTACTTTATAAACTATATTGTAAATAAATCATATAAATATTTTCATAGTAGTCAATAATATTACTGAAATTAATTCAAAAACTGAATAAATATACATTTACACACATTTACACAAGTAAATAAACAGAATCAATTATGCGCTAAAAATCTGCGAAATTCTGCGTGTGCAGATTCCATGTGGGCCTACCTATAACTTAAAGAGAAATCGCCACAAATCTTTTGGACAATTGAAGCATTCACACCAACGCAAAAAGATTTAATAGATGGACATTCTCCAAAAAAATAAAAAGAGCAACAGATTCAGAGGAAGCCTCAGAAAGCAAGAGATGTCAGTATCACTTCTGAACCGCTTAAGAATGTTAGGTGTCCACCAGTAGATGGCAGTGTAGACTTTATAAAAGCTGAAATTAGACATCAGGATTTGGGCTTGCATTCCATATGATTTCCCTTTAATGTTGCCTATAGTCAAATGCCCTACCACATATAGTCATACACTCCTCATATATATGCCACACGTCGATATGAGTGACAGTGGTAGTTGATCTAGTAACTGAGATGTGGGGGTTTAACCCTGCTCAGATCACAAGCTTTGAACACTTGTGATGAACCCTCAGATTACCACTGGCATCAAAGCACACCACTGGCTCCTTTCATGAACAAGTGACAGACAAAACATAAGTCAGAGTCAAATGACATATACAGTACTTAGACATCGCAGTGTGGTGAGAGATTTACTAAATGTGATCAATGCCCTATAAAATATTGACATTAAAATAATGAATTCACCTTTGCGTGAAGTGATGTAATGTTTTTCCACATTAACCGCCAAAATTAAAAGCTTGTTTTGACATAATTTATGTGTGTGCACTGTGTACATTTATTATGGATATGAATACACATTTGAGAAAACGTCTATCTATATTTAGATATGATGCAAATTATATATACATTTAAGTATCTATGTAACAAATTTGGGCATCACGGTGGTGCAGTGGGTAGCACGATCGTCTGAAAGCAAGAAGGTCACTGGTTCAAGCCCCGGCTGGGTCAGTTGGCATTTCTGTGTGGAGTTTGCATTTTCTCCCTGTGTTCGTGTTGGTATCCTCCAGGTTGTTTGGTTTCCCCCACAAGTTTAAAGACTTGCGATATAGGTGAATTGCATAAGCTAAATTGGCCGTAGTGTATGTGTGTGAATGAAAGAGTGTATGGGTCTTTCCCAGTGTTGGGTTCTGGCTGGAAGGGCATCCGCTGCTTAAAACATATGCTGGATTAGTTGGCGGTGCATTCCACTGTGGTGAACCTTGATTAATAAAAGGACTAAGGTTGCTGGTTCGAGTCCCGGCTGGGTCAGATGGCATTTCTGTGTGGAGTTTACAGGTTTCCCCCACAGTCCAAAGTCATGTGCCATTGAATAAGCTAAATTAGTGTATGTGTGTGAATGTAAGAGTGTTGGGTTGTGGCTGGAAGGGCATTCACTGTGTAAAACATATGCTGGATCAGTTGGTGGTTCATTCCACTGTGGCGACCTCTGATTAATAAAAGCACTTTGCCGAAAAGAAATTTAATTAATGAATGAGTCTTCCCACATAGCTAAATTTTTCTGGCCCACACTATCAGCTTTTGCTTGGCCGACATACCGCAGTGAGCTATGATGGACCAAGTCGGGCTTCCAAACATGGACTCAAGTATCAGTAAAGTTCATAACCCAAAACTGAGACTGAAATGGGACAGATATGTTGGCGTGTCACATCTGCAATGAAATTGATAATCCCAGGAAGCATTGCGCATTGGGTGCACGTTATAGGCATGCCATATCTCAAAGCGACCAGATTGGTAGATTTTTTTCTTTACTCACAAATAACTTAAATGTATTTTAAATGTGGGTCAAGAAAGGCCAAACTTTTACATGGCCCACATTTTTAACATCTGGACCGAATACTACATTTGACATCTGGCCCATGTCTTGTGTGCTGCCTTAGTGATGGTGGCACCTCTGCTACACCCGGGCCATGTTTGGCCCACATGCTGTATGCCAGTGCTGGATGAATGCTTGCTTTGCCAGCTTTATGCCAAATCTGGGCCAGAGTTCTTTGCTACCTGGGTTGTTTCTATATACAGTGCTCTGCATATAAGCACACCCCTCACAAATCTCTTTTTTAAATTTATATTTTAATAGGAAGCTATTCAATATTATATTTGTGCATATACATTAGATTAGTCAGTACTGAAGCCAACTCTTGAGCTTATCTTACAAAATAACCTATGGTAACGGTCCAAACACTAGTACACCCAAATTGATGTTATAGAAAAATAATAAATACAAATTTAAAAAAGAGAGAAAAATTTTTTGTAGGTTGTATTTTTTTTTGCAATATTTTGCTTAATTTGCTTAATTGTATTTTCTTTCAGTTTCTAAATAGGTTCAGTGACTGAAATATTTTTTTAATAAATATATTTGTTTAATAAATATGTTTTGTTTAAATGCAAAACCTATATTACCTATATTCTCT